TTGGCATGCAACCAAAAAGGAAAAGGGTTTAGGAAGGGAATGGTCCGGTGTGTGCACTGGCCAAGAGGCCGAGGAGCACGGGGGCCGAGGGCCCCTGAATGGGGTCAGGACGTCGCTGGCCTCCCCGAGAACAGTCTAAAAGGCATCTCGAAATGAACATGCACAAAACCGAACTTGAGAACATCCGCCCAAAGACCGTCAAGTCTCTCCTCTTGTGGAAAACAGTTCCCTTCCGGTTCCTCGGGCCAAAATCTTGGCACCCCTTACTCCACTCTTCCTTTCAGTTCCCACCTGCCACCCACCAGCAAATGGGCTCAACTTCAAAATATCCCCAGAACCTGACAAGCCTCACCTGACGTCTCTACCTATTAGGCCAGGACATCTGTCGCCTGGATCATCACACTAGCCTCCTGCCCGTCTCCCAACCCCAGGCCTCCCTCATTACAGGAATATTTCCTGTACGGTCAGAGTGACCCTTTCCAAAGGAAGGCTGATCACACCAGAGGACTCTGCGGTCCTCTGCGATCGATCGGCCCCACACACAAACCTCCTACCTGCCCTGCCGCCATCACCCAAGTCTCCCCCCGGCCACCACCCCGAGGCTTGGGCTCCAGCACTGTAGCCTCCTGGCCCCGGTCTCACAGCTTCTGCCCTGCTTTGCCCGGATGTCTTCCTCCCCCTCTCACCCAGCTCACTCTCAACGCTCCCGTTTTTGCTCACTTCCCAGTGAGGCTTGTCCTGCCCCTATGTTAAGCTGCCTCCATTCCCCTCCTCTGCTTTATATGCATCTATTTAAATACGTTTTTGTTAATTTTTTAGAGAGAGATAGAAACACTGATGAGAGAGAAACACTGATCGGCTGCCTCCTGCACGCCTCCTACTGGGGATCGAGCCCGCAACTTGGGCACATGCCCTGACTGGGAATCGGACCAGGACCCCTCAGTCCATGAGATGATGCTGAATCCACTGAGCCACACTGGCGGGGCACATATTTTTATAGCATTTATAACCATTTGATTTGTTATATATTTTACTTATTTGCTTATTTAAGGGCTAGGTCTCCCCTGCCCTGCCAAATCTTCGAAGTCCATGTTTATTTCCTCAGTATCTAGAACCATGCCTGGCAGTCAAGAAATGCTTCCGTGGGCTGAGCGTCCTCCCATGGACTGAGAGGTCCCAGTGCTGTTCCCGGTCAGGGCACGTGCCTGGGTTTCGGGCTCGATCCCCAGTGCAGGGCGTGCAGGAGGCGGTCGATTGATGTTTCTCTCTCACATTGATGTTTCTCTCTTCTTTTCTCTCTCTCTAAAAATCAATAAAAACATACTTTTAAAAAATACTATGTTTGAGAGCTTATCCGCATCTCTAATAATGAGATTAATCTAAGGATCATACAATTAATTAATCAAAGTAGAGAAAATCATCTTCTATGTTCCATGGATTAGACAATGAACAGCCCCGCCTGCAGGGAACCCCAAGTCCAGCAATTGTCGTCTAAAGTGATGATGATTCATTTAGAAATGACTTCACAGCAGTGCAGTCGTGGATGCTAAGACTGTATTTTTGCTTCCCTAAGTCCTACCTGAGTCTACATGGAAGCTTAGAGAAGTTAAATAATTTGCTTAAGCATCACTAATAAACAATGGAGCTGACGTTTAAGTCCAGGTACATTTGGGAATAGCCTACGTTAAATGTGCTAAAATTCACACCAGAATAGATGTATTATGGGTACTGTTCTATAAAAATTAGGAAAAAAACGTTCCTTGGTCCTTCATAATGAAATCCTAAAATAAATGTAGGGAGGGATATGAAAGCTACTCTGTAGAACTGTCAGAAGCCTGGGAATTAGCAAGAGTAAAAGTTTGAGCAGAAACAAGGCAAATAAACAGACGAGCTAAAACAATGCTACACTCACTGGAATAAGTATTAGACTGCCCAATAATGCTAAGGTCCAGGGCTGGGAAACATCCCGGCTTTTTATTTTGTTCCCTTTTTCCCTACAGTCTTCGAACTATTTTCTCTGTTAAGCTTTCACCCAAACAGGTAGAATTCTAAAATGACCCCCAAGATGCCCACTCACTGATGTGCACACCCTGCAGAATCCTCTGCCTTTGATTATGGGTTGGACCTGTGAGTGAAATGGGATATTGCTGCCTTGTTAAATGACAGGTGATGGTAGTCACTCCTATAATTATATTATATTGTAATTAGCAGACTAAAGGGACATTCTCCCTCTGGCTTTGAGGAAGTAAGCTGCCACATTGTGAGAGAGTCAACATGTGGCTTATAACTTAAGGATGGTCTCTTAGAGTTGAGAGGGACCCCAACCAACAGTCAGCAAGAAAAAAAGGACCTCAGTCCTACAACAGCAAGGAACTGAACTCTGCCAACAATCTTTTTTCTTTAATCTTCACCAAAAGATATTTTTCCATTGACTTTTTATTTTTTTAGCTACAGTGAGAGAGAGAAAAGGCGAGAGCTAGAGAGAGGGAGGGAGAGGGAGAGAGAGAGAAAGACATCCATGTGAAAGAGACACATCATTTGGTTGCCTCCCAAACGACCCCAGCTAGGGTGGGGATCAAACCCGCGACCAAGGTACATGCCCTTGACCAGGAATGAAAACCAAGGCCCTTTGGTCTGCCGCCTGACACTCTAACCACTGAGCAAAACTGGCCAGGGCTCTGCCAACAATCTTAATGAGCTCGAGAAAGGACCATGGGCTCCAGCCAAGATGGCACCTTGAGTCAATACCTTGACTTCAGAATGTAGGCTCTAAGTAGAGATGGCCCGGCAAACCCATGCCCAACTCCTAACCCATGGAAACCACCAGATAACAAAGGGCTATTGTGATATGCTTCTAAGCTTGTGGAAATTTGTCATACAATAACAGAAAGCCAAATCATGAGCCGATACTCATCCCTTGCAGACACCGTTAAGAGAGACCTAACGTGGCTATGACCTCACATTACCCAAAGGCAATAATGGAAACAGAATTCTTAATTCTGAATTGTCCTAATCCATGTTCTTTCAAAGATCCAGACCTTTTCACTTGCCATTCCCAGATGAACTCTTATTCAAACTTCAAAACCCAGGTCAAATGTTGCTTCTTCAAAGAAGCATTTCCTTACAGCCAACCCCATCCACTCCCAAGCAGAATAAATTACTCCTATTTTTGTTTCCACAGCAGCGGCTTGTCTGTACATCTCCAAAATACATGCCATGATATACTGTGACAACCTGTGCTCCTCCCAGCCCTCGACGGTGAATCTCTAGGCAGAGCTGCCCATCTCCTGCCCAGCGCCCATCACGCAGTGGCTGCTGAATTGTTGGCCACACAGGGGAGAAAATGAGGCTTGAGATTTGCACAGGCTTTTGATGCCAGGGAGCCGCTGTTTCTTTTCCACACAGATGATCAGGCCTCAGGTATTAATAGAAACCCAGAAAGCCTTCTCCATGACAACAGCTGGGTGACTAACCAAGCACTTACTGCATTAAAAGTGCAGATATTTACTGTCTCCAAAGAGCTGGTCTGAAATGGACAGGTGTGCTTAAAGCAACAGGTGGCAGGTGCTGGGAGGATCAAAATTCTCCCCCAAAGCGGTGGCATGAGTCGCTGTCTGATATGTTCTGATTGAAGCCCTAGGCTAGGGTGGTATGCTCACTGATTCAAATCATCAGTGTTAATCCATTCCTCAACTCAAGTGTCAGCCTAAACAGACAATAACCCCACAGAGTTAGTTTTGCTCAATGGCTTCAAACAATGTGTAAGAAGCCAGAAATGAGAATCGTACATCAACAATATCCACGGCAGTCACAGGACCCCCAAGTAGAAAGCATTTTGGGGAAATTAAAAACTCAGGCAAAAGTATTCATCATCAATCCATAAGGAGTGGCATTTGCCAGGATTATGTTTTGTCAAAACTCAGGGAAAGAATCTGTATTTTTCCTTAGGACCCACTCTTGTGGGTGAATACCTGAAGCGCCCCCTGCAGTTCCCCGACCGCATTACCTGGGCCACTGCTTTAGGGCTCCAGCTGGAGAAAGAGATCATCTGATTCGGGGAGGATACAAAGCAAGGCATGGAAATGAGGGACCTGCTCCTAAGAGCTACATCCAGACTCTCTCTATAAATAAGTCTTGAAACAACAAAATGCTGTCTTTTAAAGTATTACAACCACATTGCCAGACAGAAAAATTCCGAGAAGAAATAGTCTTGCCACATTTTAAAAAGTTAATTAACATTTGTTATATTTTAAAATATTTTTTAACGTTTTCTGACATTAATTCTTTTTTGTTTTAATTTTTTTTAATCCTCACCCGAGGGCATTTTTACATTTATCTTCAGATAGTGCAGGAGGGAGAGAGGGAGGAAGAGAGAGAGCAACATCACGTGAGAGAGACACATCACTGGTTGCCACCCACACGACCCCAGCCGACGCGGGGACAAACTGCAACCTAAGCACGTGCTCTTAGCGGGAACCAAACCCAGGACTCTCTGGTCCACAGGCTGACACGCTAACCACTGAGCCAAACCAGCCAGGGCCTGACATAAACTCTTAATGTCAGTAGCTCTTTCGACTCTTTTGGACTTATATGACATCATCCCTAAGAATCAAATCAGATCCTGTAGGTCCTACATTTTGAGAAGTTTTACAAATACAGGCCATCAGTGACTCAAAGACGCAGCCAGCCGGGGACACAATTTCCCAAAGATCAGTATGGGTGAAGACGTGGGGCTGGGTTCTAATCTTCCTTTCATGATAACACTAGTCCTTCATGCACTCATTCCATATTAATGTACCAGACTCTGTGCTAGGTGCTAGATACAGCTGTGAATTAGACAAATACGGTCCCTGCCCTCACGGACTTATATATAAGATGTGTATGTATATACCATGTAGGGTAAGAAGAAAGGGAAGACAGAGAGAAGTAGAGTTTTTCAATATATATCCATTATTTTAAATACTAATGACAACTTCAAAGTGGCGGAACACAGTAAATACCTTCGATGCTCTGTGGACCCACGAGATTCATGGCCTGGTGAGCTGGGTACTCCACCCGTGGCCTGGCGATGCCCAACTGTTCCATAACGCCATGGAGCAGCCTCTGCATGTCTGTTTCTGAGACCCGGTCTGGGGTCCTTGGGCTATAAGCAAATGTTGGAGTCCACCCAAATGTCAGCCAAAACATCAGGCCAGATAGCATGGTGGAGACCATTTTTAACCTGCAGAAATCAGACCAAATTGTGTCAATCAGCCACAATTGGCAACTGTGATGATGCAATCAGCGAGGGACTGATTTGAGGACCACCAGAGAGGGGCCTGCAGTGAAAAATCCTCGGGGTTTGCTTTTGCCTTAAATGCCCACTCCAGCCAGGACATCTGCTGTGGGAAGGTGTTAAACAAACAATTGGAGGTAGCCGGTCCCCTCTGTACTTGCTTTCTGGGGAAGATCAGACTGGAATGGGAGCTCTCGGCCATCTTGTACCCTCTTTGCAGCTCCCTGAAAGTTGTGCATCACCCCTAACCCCACCCTCTCCTCCTCTTTTACTAAAACAAACAACAACAAAAAACGTTTCATTTTGAGGAGGGGAGGGGGGTATCTTGAGTTTTCCCAGTCCCGGGGAAGACAGAATGGTCAAGAATCACAGGAGGGTTAGAGGGGAGGAAGGGAACACTAGCTTATTAGACATCTAGTACATTTGAGATCCTGAGGGGGAATCGAAACACGCAGAGCTCAGGTCTGCCCTGCCATCTGAAAGGGGGGATGAGGCAAGCTTGCTGCACCACATGCTAGCTGGGTGATCTTGGGCAAAATCCCCAGCGTTCTCCTCTGTAAAAATGGGAAGGAGAAAAGCATCTGTCCTGTAGGACTGCCGTGAGCAGAAGTGTGGGACCACATGCAAGGGGGGTTGGAACCAGGCCAGGCATACAGCCCCCACATTGCCATTATTATGTTGGCAATATCATCTTACATCTCTGGGCTTGGAATTTGGGCAAGGGAGTGATGGGAAGGAAGACAGGTGACAGAGAAGGTGAAAACTAGTCGGGGGGAGTGGGGGGCACTGTCCTAAATGTTGGCTTCTGTGGAGCCAGATGCCTGCAGAACACGGCAACATTCAGGCAGCTCCCTCCGCAGCTGCGGACCCATGCTCTGGCAGTAGCCACGCAGCCCCTTTCTTTTTACATTCTCCCACGCATTTTCTTCCATGAAAGTGAAATACTCATAACCCCTGGTATCTTTTTCTGCACAGAAAAAGGCCCTTTCTACCCACCCTTGGATACAAAATCTTGTTTCCCGAAGAGCCAAGCCTGCAATTTTGACGGGAAGGGCCAGAGGCAGGCGCCGGCCCCCCAGCCATCTCCATCTTTCCTCCTCTGACCTCAACGCAGGACGTCTTCCTGTCTCGTTTACCCCCCCAACCCCCCAACAGTTCGATGTGATGAGCTATACAATCTCCTCCCTCGGTGCTCTTTCCCTCGTGTTTGTAGCCGAACCTCCTAACCCCGCATCCATCCTTTGTCTGCCCCAGCCCCCAGCTCAGAGATTTCAGGACGCCCTTCCCGACTCCCATCCCGAAGAACCCGAAGAACCCGCTCGCCTGGGCTGGGTCCCAGGAGGTCGAGCAGGACTCACCCAGGGACGGAGGAGCCAGCCGCGGGTCTGGGCCGTGCTGGGGGTCCGGCGGGAGCAGCGATCTGGGTCTCTGGTGCGTCACCTCCCTCCGCGTCTTAGCTCCGCCCTGGCCCCTCCTCCAGCAGGTGGGGGCGGCCCAGCAAGGGCTCCCCAGAAGCAGCCAGAGGGGTGCCTCCGCCCCAGCCACACAGCGTGCACCCCGCGTGCTCCACACGCACCTGTCCCAGGGACCCTTTAGCGACCTTTGTGGAAGTAGCTCACCTTTCTCAATTGTGTCAACAGTGTGCCAGGTCTCCACTCTGCACCTCTCCTCCAGTAGCACATCTTTAATTCTGCCACCTTCCAGGATTTTTGTTTTTTCTTTTTAATCCTCACCAGCGGATATTTTTGCATTTATTGTTTAGAGAGTGGGATGGAGAGAGATGGGGAGAGGGGGAGGGAGGGAAGGAGATAAACAGACTGGCTGCCTCCAGCCTACCTAACCGCAGCTGAGGTGCCTGCCCTTGACCGAATCCACCCGGTGAGTCTTTGGTCCCGGGCCAACGCTCTAACCGCTGGGACAAACCGGCAGGGCAGGGTTTATTTATTATTATTTCCAAGGCTTTCAGCTTTAAGAAAAAAAGGGGCAATGGTAGGAGAAACAAAAGATGAAGAAGTGCTAAGAACTTTTAATGATGGCAATCATAGGGTATACAGTCGTCCCTCGCCTCTTCGCGCTTTGACTGCCTCACTCAATCGCGGTTTTTCTCAAATACTATACTATACATTGAAAAAACCGGGATAGGGTGAAGCCTCGAAAATCAAAGGGCGAAGGGACGAGGGACAACTGTATCCTGAGGGTGCTCTCATGAGCCTTTTCACTGGCAAACAGCCTAGTAAATACAAAATGCTAGCAACTCCCATTAAAGTAACACCCTCAAAACATGGGAAAACCTCTAGGAATACGAGCTTTGAGCCCTGGCCAGCTGCTCGGTGGTTAGAGTCGCCCGGTGCACTGATTCCGCTAAGGGCACGTACCTTAGTTATGGTTTGTTGCAGCCGGGTTGGGGTTGTGTAGGTGGCAAGCAGTGATGTGTCTCTCTCACGTCGATGTTCTTCTCTCTTACTCCCTATCTGAAGATAAATGCAAAAATGTCCTCAGGTGAGGGTAAAAAAATAAAATAAAATATGCGTTTTGAGTGCTGATTCTCAACTTCCACACCAACTATTAAGTAAAATTCCTTCGGTCTGAAGAGTAACCATACTCCCAGCACCTTGCTGAAGTTTATCTAGGTAGACCCGGACTTTTAAGCTTTTATAGAGCAAACTTTAACATTTGAATTTTGCCCAAATACAAAAATGTAAATGTAAAACCACACAATATAGTATTGTGAATTTCTCTCAAGACGCGGGATGACTAAGTACCTGGGGTCTGAGATTCACTGAGTGTTTGGACGAGATTAGAATCCAGATCTCTCGACCCTAGCTCCAGTCCATGGTCGTCTACGGCAATCTCATGCAATGCATAGGACACAAAACTCAGGAGACACAAGGCCTTTGGTTCGAAGCCAAGCCTCCTTCCTAGCCTTTTCTTCCACAGATGCTCGTTTCCAGCTTTTTTGTTTCAGGGTGTGCTCAACCAACCAACAGTAAGTACACACAGTCTATTGGATCTAGGTTCAAAGGACAAGACGGGGCTTGCTATTTATTATTCACCAATACTGAGGGTTGTTTTTATCAATTCTGAATTTTACTTTTACATTGTTCAGTTACCATTTTGTGCTTGGAAAATGGAGAAGTTATTACAATTTACTGCTTTTGTGATGAATGGAAACTTGAAATATACCAAATAAAATCTGGTATAAAATCTGCATAAAATCTGCAATCTTATAAAAAATTTATCACAGCCCTGGCCAGTTTGGCACAGCGGTTAGAGCGTCAACCCACGGACCAGAGTCCTGGGTTCGGTTCCCACTAAGGGAATGTACCTTGGTTGCAGTTTGTTCCCAGCCCCAGCTGGGGTCGTGTGGGTGGCAACCAGTTGATGTGTCTCTCTCACGTTAATGCTTCTCTCTCTCACCCCCTCTCTCCCTCCTGCTCTATCTAAAGATAAATGCAAAAGTGTCCTCGAGTGAGAATTAAAAAAAAAAAAAATCTACCACATATATACTTGGCTTGGTGATTATCAAAATCCTATATTAAATTTAGTGATGACAGGATGTTGCCAAGCAACCTACTAATTTAGTTCTATGTAAGTGTACTCTTTGTTGCTCATAATAATCAAATGAATATTAGATCTTTACTTGTAATATTTCAAGTTACTGCACATGTCCAGCACTTTTAACTTTGTTCATTGTTTGTGCATCATTTGATCAAACATCCCCATGAGATTAGGAATATTAACTATTTTGTGTAAAAAAAAGTGAAAACAGATTCAATCAAGTCTAAAACTCAACTTTCCTGACTCTTTTTCTCCAATTACCATACCTCCAAGCTATTTGTGTCCAGCTAACAAAACTGGGAGTGGCAATGTGGGCAGGTTTTCATTTTCAATACCTCTCATTACTGATTCATCTCTCAGAAAAGCCACTAATTCGGGTGGTTTGTAGTTACTTTCCTATGCCTTCTTACTAAATTAGTCTTCCAATTCAACATTTTGCCCATCCCCATGGATAAAAAAGGACACTAACTGCATTTTTAAGTTGAAAAAATTTCTTTGAACCAGACAACATATATCTGAGTTTATAAATAATTTCTATCTCTACTACTATAAAATGCCATAAATACTAAAATGCATACCCAGTAAACACTACAAACCTGTTTTGATGTCAGATAAACATGTTTTGTTTTGTTTTATCCTCACCCGAGGACATTTTTGTATTTATCTTCAGATAGAGCGAGAGGGAAAGAGGAAGAGAGAGAAACATCAATGTGAGAGAGACACATGGACTGGTTGCTACCCACACGACCCCAACCGGGGCCAGGGACAAACTGCAACTGAGGAATGTGCCCTTAGCAGGAACCAAACCTGGGTCTCTCTGGTCCACAGGCCAATACTCTAACTGCTGAGCAAACCAGCCAGGGCAGATAAACATGTTTATGTCTACAGATTTTTACAATCTTCGTATAAGTCAAATATTTTGTAGTTCTGAGAAAGATTTGATTGCTAGGTAATGGATATAGAGACAGGAAATAGCTTTGAAATAAAAGATGTACTGTTATCAGAGAGAACTTTTCCTTAAAGATTTGTAACTTCTAATAATGTAAAATATAAATATAGATTTGCTTGACAATTTGGGTCAAATTCTAAAAGGTACTTTGAATTTCATTAGAGTCTCAGGCAAGTCATTTTTCAGAAAGTTATCTTTAATGTCTATGCTAAATAAATAACAGTCACACAAAGACAAAACCATCATGGGCTGTTGTTAAGAATCCATAGCATAAGAATCCAAGGTATATGTGGAGGTGCACCATTTCAAATTCTAGAATCAAGCATCTGCATATAAGAAATCACCTTGATTAAATTTTCAAAGGTAATTATTCCTCAATTTTAAATTCTATATTGGACAAAACAGATATGAATGTATTTGTGCAAATTAACTTTAAAAATATGGTGTGGCTTAAAAGTCATTAATTATTCTTGCATCATACTACATAAGCACACTTGAGTCATTATCCATTTTAGCCATTATTCTTAAGTGAATACCCTGTATACATCTACAGGCAATAGAAACCTAATTATTCTGCCCCAAATAGAAATAAAAGATTAAGATGCTATTGAAACAAATTAATTTCTAGGGATTTGGGTAAAGACAATAAATATTAATGTAATTCAAGAAATAAGATTTGCAAGGTTTATCTATTTCCTTTATATGCTAAACAGTTCTTGTAGAAACCTTATCTGACTTAGGAGAAATAACAGGAAATAAGACACAACTCATTCTTATTCCCATCACACTTAAGAAATAAAATTCATGCAATTTTCCAAAATTAATTTCTTATAAACCCAGTCTATAATTTCTTTTAAAAAGTAAAGTGTAACCTGTTTTAAGAGATCACAATAAAATTAAAAAGTTTTAAATATTACCAAAATTAAGAAAAACAAAGCAGTCAAGAATCCAAGCTGCTTGTGCAATGAGATTAAAAATCCATCACGTGACAATCATCCTGCGCTACAAATGAACACGTAGATCGCCTTACAAGCACATTGTCAACTGCTAATTTTATTTACATTAATGACAAGTATAACATTTACCAGTTACAAGTCTACAGGTTTACTTGTTGGTAGTAGCTGAGTTTTTCCAATAGGATTTTGTGGAGAACCTTTATACCAGACCCTTTCTCTTTCTGACGGTTTCCTAAGGACTCTGTTATTTATCCCAGGAGAAAAGACTGCATTATTATTTACAACAGGTTTTGATGTATCGTGATTTGTCAGATCCTCCAAGGGAACCTTAATTTGGCCATCAGATATCACTTTCTGTTTATAAACTCTGGCTGACCCAAGAGAAGCATTCATGGAGTCTGGGCGTCTCTTCATCTGTGAGAAAGATGTAGAAGGTAATTGCACGCTTGGTTTGGAAACTGCATCATTTGACTGTTCACATGATGTAGACTTCTGTTCTTTAGGACCTGACTGGGTACATGAAATTGCGGAATCTTGTAATGTACTTTCCATACAAGAGGAAAGAGCAACGTCACAGCTCACTGATTTAACCAGAGGAGAAGCAGCATCACCAAGATGCGCCAATTTGTGCCTTACTGGTTGTCTGTCATATTCCAACAAAGAATTAATTCTTCTGACAGACTGACGGACAGGCGTGCGCTGAAACTTAAGAGGTGATTTAACTTTTGTCCTATTTGGTTCATTTAAAGAAAGCTTATTAAACCACTGGATGTGGTCTGAGACCTTCCCATGTTCTGTTACTCGTACACCTTCAGAAACCCTTGCATCACACGCTGCCACGAGTGACTGCTGTTGAACCACCCTCTCAGGCCTCGGTTTTGACAAGCTGGTTCCATGACAGGTGATCTGCTCTGAGGAAGAGGCGTTAGCTGCATCCTCCCTAGAAGCTGTGCACTTCGGTAAGTGCTCTTCAACCATATTGTCCTCATTGAATTGAGTATTTAGTTTATCCCTTGGGGACTGTTGTGCTTTTATCTGCTCATCACTGGGCAAGTCTTGCTTACTTAAGTAATCATTTGGTATATCTGAATGGATGTTTTCGTCATGTTCCATCTTCATCTGAGTTGAGTAACATTTTATAGTTGTTTCTCTATCTAATTTTTGAGTTTGATGTAGTGATAAGTAACTTTCTGAAAAACTACTTTCACTTGTACTAGTGTAGTGTTCGTTTGATTTTATCACAGTCAAATCATTAGTTTCAAACAGATTTTCCCCTGGGCTATATGCTATAGAAGATGGTTCATTTAAATTTACTTTCCCCACATTACTTATTGATGACTGCCTATGACTTATCAGAGCATGAAGCTTACTTCCGGATTCAGAAAATGCTTTCTGAATTTTTACCAAAGTCTCTGTATTCAAGTCATTTTCATCTCCACTAAGAGAGCTTACAGTTACGCTGTTGTTATGCTCATTGTGTACATTAGAAGGGGTGAGTTCATATGAATGAATAGATGACTTTTCCATGATAATATCAGGCTCCAAAGAGTTTTCCACCTCAAGATTGCCCTCTATCGGAGAAGTTTCATTTGCTTCTATTTCTTGAAAACTTGAATTACTAGGTCCCATCCAAGACATTCGGTAGCTTGTTTCATCTCGTTGTTCTGGAGTTAGTAAGTTTTCTTCAGACTGACTGATCTTTTTTGAACCTAAAATAAAGCAGTTCAGGGTTTTTAACCATTTATATTTGACCTACTTTAAAAATATTATCCAAATACATGGTAAATAAAGGTACTAGGCATTTTATTTCAATAAATTCAAGATTTGTGTGAAAAGAAATAATTTTTAAATGTCAAACATTTCCATATTTATAAGTATCCTCCAACTGTTCACAAAAAATACATTGCCAAATCAAATATGAATTTTAAAATTTTAGAACAGTAAATTACTTAACATATTTTATCATTAAAAGAGCGATTAAAGGTTACGTGTCAATTAGATCACAATAAAGCTGGAAAATTTTATTTTTAAAAAGCAACTAAAGTAGGCTTTTTGGGTAAAACTTGTCATGTAAATGTACCTTTACCTTTCTTTGGTATTCTTTTGGTGATATCTGGGCTAAAAAGTAGACCTGTTTTTACAGATTCAATCCTATTTTTTAAACTTTGTTGATTTGCAAGTCGTCGACCAACATTTTCATGTCTTTTGACACCAGAACACCCATTCTGTACAGAAAAAAATTGAAACGTTTTGGTAAAAAATAAACCAGTTAATTTTCAAAATATTAAGACAACTGTAGTTATCAAAATCATCTACATATAGTTAAAAATGGTATATATGATTGAGAAACAATTTTATAGCAAACACAAATATATTTCTACATGCATGCTGATAAGAACTGTAAGCATTTAACCTGGCTATTAGTTGATATTTTATGATCCAAAATAAGAAACAACCTCACATATTCATTAACAACAAAAAAAGAGTCTGTGTCAAGGCCTATTCACAGTAGTGAAGAAAATGAAAAACAAACAAAAAAACAACCCAAGGCCAAAATCTTACCTTCATGGAATTTATATTATTGGTGGAGAGATTTAGACCAGAAAAAATAATCAGTCAATTACATAGTATAATATATAATACAAAAGACATAAAGTGCTATGTAGAAAAGTAGGGTAAGGAGGATATGAAGTGGTAAAGGGGTGTTAACTTTAAACAGAGTGATCGTGAGAAGGTAATTTGTGAGTAAAGAATAATGAGGGTGGGAGTCATGAATGTAAAAGGGGAAAAACATTCCAGGGAGAGGAAAATGCCAGTGCAGTTTCTGAGGCTGAAGCCAGGTCTGGCATATTTGTCCTTTTGCTTTTGTTTTTATTGATTTTTTTTTAGAGAGAGAGAGGGAGAGAGAGATAGAAATATCAATGTGAGAAACAATGATCAGCTGCTTCCTGCACGCCCCCTATTGGGCATTGAGCCTGAAAACCCAGGCATGTGCCCCAACTGGGAATTGAACCAGGACTTCTCAGTCCATAGGAAGATGCCCAATCCACTAAGCCACACCGGTCAGGCAAAGTCTGGCATATTTGCCCAACAGCAAGGAGGTAAAAGTGGACGAAGCTGAGTGGGCAAGGGGCAGTGACTGGATGAGGGCTCAGAAAGGGAGGCTGGAAACAGGTCATGTGCAGGGTTGCAGTCGATGGAAGAACTTGCTTTTTTCCTTCTGAACAAAGAAGTGACATGATTTAACTTGGGTTTTAAAAGGATAATTTCGGGTAGAGTACTGCGTAGAAGCAGGTAGACCGACTAACAGAAGCTTATTGCAAGTTCAAGATGACAGGACTTGGGAAAGTTAAAAATGTAATACTGGTGAAAATTGGTCTCAATATACGCAGAAAGCAGAAGTTAGACAGGATTCCCTAATGGTGTAGAAAGGGCGTGTGAGAGAAAGTGAAGAGTCAAGAATGCCTGCATGGTTTCTGACCTAAGTGACCGGAAGAATAAGTTGCCATAACTGAGACGGTGAAGACTGCAGGTAGAAGTGTGGTTGGGGGAAAGGGGCATAAATGGAGAAACAGAGGTAGTAAAGAAATGCAACTCAGAGCCCTATTTGGGACAGGCTACACTCTCCATGTCTACTAGACTGACATCTAAGTAGGCAGGTCAAGTAGGCAGATGTTACAAAATAGTCAAGTTGTTCAGAAAAGCACTCTAGGCTGGAGATAAAAACTTGGAAGTCTCAAATAAATATATGATGTTTAAAACTGATAATCATCTTTGAGTGAGTGGAGAGAGAAAAGAGAAGTCCAAGGATGAAGCTCTGGGCACTCCAATGCAAAGGAATTAGAACACTAACCGGTGAAGAAGGGAGAAAATCATGCGAGTACAGTGTCCTAGAAGCAAGAAAAGAAAGTATGCTGAAGAGGAGCAAGTGCTCAGCCAGGTCAGATGTTGCTAGTGGGTCAAGTCAAACAAGGACTGGTATTTGTCCAGAGGCTTTAGTGATGATAAATTCACGGGTGACCTTGATGAGAACAGTTGCTGTGAGTGCTGAGGATGAAAGCCTCACTGGACTCGATTTAAGCTGAGTAGAAAAGGAGGAACTAGAGAAAGGCAAGTGTAAGAGTTTGGTAAAACGAGAAGCAGAGAACGGGAAAGTAGCCAGAGGAAGGCAGCGTTGATAGTCTTTCAGCATCAAGTCTATAGCTTTATGCTAAGATGAACATCCATGAAAGGGTGAGACACTTACTATATCTTTGCTGCTTTTCCCCAGACTAAATTTCAAACGAAGTGATCTTCTAACTTTTTCTTTACGACTGATTTTAGGAGAGAAGCAGCCTGCTTTTCCTGATTCTGCCCTAAAAAGAGTGGAATTTAAAACGTCAGTTTATAGCAACAAAAAAAAACAAACCCTGGAGAAATGTTTGCAAAAAGAAATTTGAGACTGTCCAGAGCAAATCATACTGCTAGGAATTGAACAGAGTTAGAACTTCCTAAAATCAGTTAAGCTTTAAGATACCATACACAGACACATTGTATTTGCATACAAAAATTATTTTTCCTGTCTATCACAAGAGTTATTTATAAACCAGAATCATTAGAATAAACTAGCTTTCTAAATTAACCAGAAATTTAAATTATACACATCAACATGAAGTAGGATTTTAAGCAAGTGAACAACTCAAATTAAGAATCTTTCTCTAGAGAATATATAAAGGGCACCTGATTAATAAGGCAGAGAAATAAATCTTTAATTATGATTTTCTTGGTATAAAGACAAAATATTTTATTAGCTATATACACCAAATATTTATCCAATGAAAACAAAATGTCCTGAATAAATTACCTGCAAAGTTTTTTGCTTGCAATCCTTTTACTTCGCCTTGGCACATCTGCACTGATCAAATGATTTCCACTGGTGGCTACAGGAGAGAGTGAACTCTGAGATGAACCTTCTGGGCTTGTATCAAAGTGAACTATAAAAATAATCACATGTAATATGCTACACATATTTATTTTCTTTTTTAAAAATATAAAATATTAATAGTGATTATACTTAAAGCTGTAATTTCTACCCCTAAGACACAACAAAAATCATATAAATTCTGCTTAAAATTTCAGGGGCCAAATAACCCAACTCAACTAAAAAAAATATATATCAATTGTCTACTTTATAATGTCAATAACAGGTCAGATTATTGCTTCCACACTGGAGTTTTACTTTCAATTCGTGTAGGAATATAAGGGAGGAGTGGGCACTGTTGCTGACTGGAGAAAGACAAGCTTTCGAGACAGACAGCTGTCTCACCACTCACTAAATGTAAATGACTTTAGGTTCTGAAAACTGATTTCCATGGCAAATATAAATATTTCTGTAATGTATATAAAATGTCCAGTACAGTACCTGATCCATAATAATAATACTATTACTAAAAATAAACTATGAAAAAACAATTTAGAGTCTAAGTATCCAGTATGTACCTGGCTAGGCAAGTGCTGTCCAACTGACTCCAGTATAATTTGTCCATTATTTTTGGCAAAAAAGATGATCTATAACACACATCTAACCACTTGGCTACTGCCATGTTCCATGCTAAAAATTGGTGGGTACAACAGCTCATTTTGATCAAGTTATTTAACATTCTATCATGAAACTGACTATAAAAGAAATTAGAAAAAAAGTAAAATAGTTATGAACAAGAGCTCCCTATACATTTGACTTATATTTGAATCATACCCAGGATATACTTCACAAACATGAACCCTCTTACCTGTCATTGGCATTGATAAAGAATTCACATGAGTCTCCAGAGACATCCATGTTTTTCAGTCATAAAAACAGAAAATAATACAACCATTACAGTGACCTTGGGCTCTGTACATTTTAGAGGTCATTGTAATATATCCAGTGTGACCTAGGTAGCTTTATTCTAGGGCTGCAGTGATCACGAGGAGGCACGGCCAGAATACATGGCATAATGCAATAATGCAAAGTCATCAAACATATAACAAAAAAATTATATATAGGTACTCATGAAGTTTAGATAAACATTGTTGGCTTTATACATTTTTTAAAAAGCATTTTATAGATGGAATTCACCGAATTATGTGTGACAGTAGGGGGAAAAAAAGTTAAAATAATAGAATTACTGTTGCTAAACTAGTGAACTTTTTTTCTTTATTGATATTAGAGAGATAGAGCTAGAAACGATGATCAGAGAACATCAATTGGCCACCTCCTGCATGGCCCCCACTGGGGATCAGGCCCACAACCTGGGCATGTGACCTGACCAGGAATAAAACTGGCGACCTCTTAGTGCATGGGTCGATGCTCAACCATTGAACCATACCAGCCGGGCCAAACTTGTTAATTTCTTTATCAAAAAATTCACTGAGAACTCCAAAATAGCAACAGAGTGAATGGAAGCTATACAGACCATTTCCCAGGACCAAACTAGAAGTACAACTCAAAAACAAATCGTCCTGAAAAAGGAACCGAAAAGCAGCTTGTGAGGACCACATAACCAAGGACACTGAATCAATCCTGGTAGGAATTTGGAGGCACGAGAGGAGGGCTGAGAGCCCACAGACAGCAGCAATCTTAGCTGTGAGCAGCGCCCTGGGACACAGTGCTAAAATAGCCACAGCCACTCACCTAAGGCTCTGACAAAGGGAGGGTGGACTGGGCTGGAACTGTGTGGGACACTTGGGATTTGAAGGGCACTTAGAGCTTTTGCTGAGTTGCAGCCATGCAGGACAGTGGTCATCTTACTTCTTCCCAGGGCTCTGGGCAGAGGCTAGCAGTCCATTCCTTGGAGATTCAACGCCACCCAGGTGGGCCATTGAAATGCAAATTGAAGCTTATTAACAACCCATCTGCCCCACCCTCCTGCATATGCTCTTACCCTGAACACCAGAGGGAGTTTTTCATTCAACCAGGAACCCAATGCTCTTCAAGTAAACTTGACTAATAGCCTCCAGGCAAAACGCCAGAGGATAACTGAACATTCCTAGGATGGCAAATCTACCCAGGAAAGGAAGACTTCACAGTGGTGTTTAACATAGGTCCTCCAACGCTCATCCAAACCCAGTAGAGGGAGCCACAAACAGCAGAACACCAACACCCACAGGGAAAATTTAGCAGGCTCCAAAACCCACTGAGATAGCCAAATGGTGAAACAAAGAAACAATCGCAAATGAAAGAACAAGAGACTTCTACCAAAGATGAGATCAATGAGATGCAGTTAAGCAAGTTATGAGAGGTAGAGTTCAGAGCCATGATCTTGAGGAAGCTCCACAGCACGAGTAAGAACATCTACACCTTGAGTAAAGACACAGAAACATTGAAAATCAATCAATTGGAAATGAAAAACCACCAAGAAGAAATAAAGAATGACTTAGCAGAAATTAGGAACACATTGGAAGGACTACAAAACAGAGTAGAGAAAGCTGAGGACCAGATCAATGAATTAGAAGACACGGTAGAAAAAAAAAAAAAATCAACCAATCATAAAACCAAAAGGAAAAAAAAATTCAAAAATAGGAAGACAGCTTAAGAGACTGTGAGACAACTGGAAATATTCGCATCACAGGAGTCCCTAAAGAAGAAGAAAATGAGCAAGGGTTAAAGAATATATTTGAAGAAATAGTGACAGAAAACGTCCCTAATTTGGTGAAGAAAGAAGCCATTCAAGTTCAAGAAGCATGGAGAGCTTCAAGTAAGAAGAACCTAAATAGGCTCACACAAGACACATAAAAATTAAAATGCTAGAAATTAAAGACAAAGAGAGAATCCTAAAGGCAGCAAGAGATAAGCAACAGGTTACCTACAAAGGAACCCCCTTAAGGCTCTCAGCTGACTCCTCAACAGAAACACTACAGGGCAGAAGGGAATGGCATAAAGAAATCAAGGTCATGAAAAACAAGGATCTGAATCCAAGACTACTCTATCCAACAAGGCTATCCTTCAAAATAGAAGGTCAAATAAAGAGCTTCCCAGACAAAAAAAAAAAAAAAAAAAAAGGCTAAGGGAATACATTAACACCAAACCAGCACTGCAAGAAATGTTAAAAGGACTGCTGTAATTAGTAGAAGCTATAGAAAGAAAAATATAACCACAATAAACAAAAATGGCAATAAATAAGTATATATCAATAATCACCTTAAATGTAAATAGATTGAATGCTCCGATCAAAAGATAAAGAGTAGCAAATTGGATAAGAAAGCATGACTCATCTATATGTTCTTTACAAGAGACCCACCTCACAACAAAAGACTCAAATAGGTTGAAAGAGAAGGGATGGAGCAGAAAGGGAAAAAAAGCTGGGTTAGCAATACACATATCTGATCAAATAGATTTCAAAATGAAGGCCATAACTAGAGACAAAGAAGGCGAATACATAATATGGAAAGGATCTATCCAACAGGAAAATATAACCTGGGTACACATACATGCACCCAATAAGAGAGCATCAAAATATATTAAAAATCTTCTGGAGGACTTCAAAGAAGAAATCAATAGGAATACAATCACAGCAGGGGACTTCAACACCCCACTGACATCACTGGATAGATCCTCTAGACAAAAAATTAACAAGGAAACACAGACTCTAAATGAAGCACTAGAACAAATGGATTCAATAAATATCTACAGAGAATTATACCCCAAAACTACAGAATTCACATTCTTCTAAAGTGCACATGGGACACTCTCAAAGATAGACCACATTTTAGGACACAAACTTAGTCTCTACAAGTTCAAGAAGATTGAAATCATTATCAAGCATCTTCTCAGAGCACAATGGCATGAAACTAGAAATCAACTGCAACAAGAACATGCCAACATTTGAACACATGGAGGCTAAAGAGCATGTTATTAAACAATGAATAGGTTACCATGGAGATCAAGAAAGAAATTAAAAACTTCCTGGGAAGCAATAAAAATGAACAACAACTCAAAAATCTATGGGATGCAGCGATAGCAGTTCTGAGAGAAAAGTTCATAGCACTATAGGCCTACCTCAAGAAACAAGAAACATTTCTAATAGACTATATAATCTCACAACTTAAAGAAGCAGAAAGCAAACAAAATGAAAACCCCAGAGCAAGTAGAAGGAAGGAAATAGTAAAGATCAGAGCAGAAATAAATGACATAGAGACCAAAAAAACAATTCAAAGGATCAATGAAAGAGCTGGTTTTTTGAAAACATAAACAAGATTGATGGACCCTTAGCTAGACTCACCAAGAAATAAAGAGAACCCAAATACACAAAATCAGATATGAAAGAGGAGAAGTAACAACTGACACCACAGAAATACAAAAGATCGTTAACAACTACTATGAACAATTATATGGCAACAAATTCCACAATCTAAGCGAAATAGACAAATTTCTAGAAACACATAGTCTCCCAAAACTGGATTGGAATGAGAAAGAAAACTTGAACAGACCAATAACAACTAAGGAAATTGAAGAGGTAATCAAGATGCCCAGCAAACAAAAGCGCAGGCCAGGTCAGCTTCACGGGGGAGTTTTACCAAACATTCAAAGAACTAACACCCATTCTCCTCAAACTATTTAAAAAATTCAAGAAGGAAGATATCCAAAATTGTTTTATGACGCCAGCATAATTCTAATTCCAAAACCAGAAAAAGACACTACAAAGAAAGAAAACTACAGGACAATATCCCTGATGAACACAGATGCCAAAATCCTGAACAAAATACTAGCAAATCGGATCCAGCAATACATCAAAAAAATTATTCACCATGACCAAGTGGGATTCATCCCAGGGATGTAATGCTGGTACAATATTTGCAAATGAATAAATGTGATACACCACATAAACAAAATGAAAGATAAAAACCACATGATCATATCAATAGATGCTGAAAAAGCATTTAACAAAATCCAGCACCCATTTCTGATAAAAATGCTCAGCAATGTGGGAATAGAGGGATATCTCAACGTAATAAA